TTTTAAGTCCATTTCTAACACTCTATATTCCTTAATTAACCTCTTGAAAAGTCAAAAAAATCTTATTCAAACTTCAAAAACTCATCCATATCAAAATTTCATCTAAAAACCCTTTTTTCAAATCTATTTCTAAAACACTTATCTTGTTGTTTTAATGACATATAAGCTTTCCTTTAGCTTATATGATATTCAAACTTTCATTACCAAACCAAAAAATCAAAGAAACAACCAAGGTTCAAATTCTTACCTTAAGCTTGGGTCTTCACGTTTGAGAGAAGAAGAAGATGAAGAAAGAAGGAAGAAGAAATGAGAGAAATCTGGAAACATTTGTTTCCTATATAAGCTCTACGTGGGTTTATAAAATAACCCAATATCCATATTTAATTATTTCCTTGATAAAATACTCATTTGCCCTCTTAACTTCTCCTTATTTGCTAATTCATCCTACATGAAATATTTTCCATTAAATCTCTCAACTTTTCAATTTATTTACTTTGGTCACTGAAATTTTAAAATCTTACACTTAAATTACTAACCCGATATTGAGGATGTTACACATAAATCATATGATAATGGGAATATATGATTATGAGATAAAATATGTAAAAATAAGAGAATATGATGAAAGTGAATCTATGAGAAACGATAGAAACTAGGTAATTATGCGGAAAAGTTATATGAATAATAGAAATATGAGTTGGACAAGTACATAGTGGTATAATTAATTATGAGAATTAGTATAATAGAGTTACATGATTTAATGTGAATTCAAGGAAACTAAATAAGATTGAGTTATATAATGAAATGAGAATAGTGTATCAATAAGGAAACTTGAATATAAAGTTATGACATGAACAAATAAGATAAGTTAAATAGCAAAGACCTATAGGACAATATGAGAATAGTATGCAAATTAGGAGACATTGATAGAAGTGACTATATGAACATTGATAGAATGTTTCACACATAGGTTCCGGAAAGCGAGAAGATAAGTTAAGAGGAGCATGATAGGTTAGCATATTCGTTACAAAGTTTAGATCAAAAAATCAAAGAGATGATTTTATTATATTTATTTTATTTTGAATTTAGTTGGCATGTACTAATTGATTGAGTTGAACACGCTCTGATATGTTTTGTAAACCAATTGATTTGATTAATGTAAAATATTCATTTTCTTGAAATGTGAATTTAGAATTTTAATCAGTTTGTAAAGGAAAATGCTTTGAATGTGACACCTCGGACTCGGATCCAGGTAAGAGATGGGTTGGGGTGTTACAGGCAACCCAGTTGAGATGTATTCATTGTTAAAGGGTTTAAAAGTTGGGAAAAAGTAAATTCTGAAAAAGAATTATGCTTTTCTTAATCACATTGGAGTTTGATGAAGTAGTACCGACATATTGACAAAGTAATACATCGAGAAAATTCAGAAAAAAAAAATTTAAATAACAGATTATGAGTTAAGACTTCAGTAGATATTGTCAGATGGCCTATATTTCTAGGTTGTGCTTTTAGAGGTCATAATAAGACACTTGATTAAAAAAATCGTGAATTTATTTTTGAGTTGATTGAGATTTTGACACCCTATAATGAAGATGTTAACAAATTTATGTTGGAAAATTCCCCTAAGCAAGCTAAGTATGTTTCTTCTTGAATTCAAAAAATGAGATTTTACATGTTATTGCTAATAAAGTTCGGAACAAGATTTATGAAGATATTATAGATTCAAAATTATGCATCATTGTTGATGAAGCTCGTGGTGAATCCAAAAGAGAACAAATGTCTCTTATTTTGAGATTTGTTGATAAAGATAACTATATTAGAGAGTAATTTTTTGATCTTACATATGTTAAAGATACATTTGTATTAACTCTTAAAAATAAAATATGTGTTATTATAGCTTGTCATGGTCTTGAGGTTCAAGATATTCGTGGTCAAGATTATGATGGAACTAGGGGATTGGAAAGGATTGCAAGTATTATTCATTAATGATTGTCCATCTTCTTATTATGTGCATTGCTTTGCTCATTGACTGCAGTTAGCTCTTGTTGTTGCATCTTGATAGGTTCATTCTATTCATGAGTTTTTTTTAATAATTTAAGTTTCATTATCAATTATGTTGATGCCTTATTGATAACTCTCCAAAAGAGTTATCTTTTTAGTATCTTTTTACCTAGGTTAAGCTTTAACTTTAGCATCATTCAGATCATTTTAGGTTTATTTTATCATATTTTATATCGTTTGCAAATTGAGAGTGAGTTTATATCTTTTGGGATATTTTATGATATTTTGCTATAATTTGATATGTTGATGGTGCGATATTATAAATGTTGTACACGTTGCTAGGCACTAATATTGTACTGGATTACCATGTTGATGCTGCAGCAATTGGTGACTTAGCAGACAGTTACAAGAAAATTTTGGAATCGGACAGCTATCCAATATAGTTGTAAAATGGTTGTAAAATATAGGAAAAATCATATTTTTCCTATTAGTAAATGGATGATTTTTCAGAATCGTCAATATTTGCTCGTTATTTCTTAAATCTTGTGGGTTTATTGTTGTTGATTTGGTTGTGTTATGCTTATTTTCGTGCAGGGCCTTACTTTCCATAATTAGTGATAAAACGGGCGTATTCTGTATTTTTTTTATTATTTGGTCACAACTGAAAACATAGGCACGACTCTGGGCACGACACGGTCTGACTTGGCAGTTTCTAGAAGGTCTAGTCAGCGGCGGTTTCTAGAAGATCTACTCAGCGCGCCTTCTGGAAGATGGACGGACAGAGTTGCATTAGGAAACTTGTTTTAAAGTTTGAATTTAGAAAAACATTTATCTTTAGGATTATTTTAATTTTTTTGTTTATCCTAAGGCTTTGAGAGGCTATAAATACCCTATTGGGGTAAGCTTAAACACAACTCATATTACAATTCTCTTTTCTTTCTAGTTTTATAAAAGTTCTCTCATTTTTTTTCAAGTTTTCGATTTTTACTTTATTTTTAAAGATTTGTTTTTTTATGCTAAGTATGACTTTTGTCATGCTTAGCTAAATTTTTCATAAGCCGAGAGCTGAAGCGATGACTCAATTCCAACGGGAGAATTGAAACAGTCCCTTAATATCTTCGAAATATCTCTCTCAATCTTTGCGCTTATTTTTCAAAATCAAAATAGTTTTCAAAATCAAAGATAAACTTTGGTCTAGATTGTTGTTGCAATTAAACGTGTAGGAGGAAGATTAAGCTTATGGAAAGCACATTCGACTTCCTGGGAACACACTTGGCGAGATAGCTTCAACAAGAGAGAATTAAAATCGGAATTGACGGTTATAAAAGCAATAATCCGAGTCGGTCACCATGAAGTTAAATGATAATTGATATACGACAATTGATGTTGATTAGATCAGTTTTCGAAGCCGGAATCAAAGATTGCCTTGGGTATTCGGTATACAAAATAGTCTTGGGGATAGCCCTTGTAGACAAAGTAACCGACGTGAATCCCGAAGGGAAAATCTAATTCGATGATCTAAAGGAAATTGAGTCAAAGCGAAGCTTGAGGCTATTTTTACCATATCCATTTATAATCTTTATTTTCTTAATTTTTTTACTTTAATTACATTTTATTTAAACTCTTTATTACTTAATCACTTTTTACCAAAACCCCCCCTGTTACTACTTTCTCGCCTGGCTTAAACAAATCAAACAGGAATTTATAATTTTCCAAGTCCCTATGGAATCGACCCTTACTTATCTTTACTACGCATTTTCTTCATTTATCAATTGAGAAGAAGGAATTTATTTTGATATCGAAAACGACAGTTGGCATAGATGCTTTGAACTTTGGGGATTATAAATAAGGCCTCCCTTCACACTTTTTATAACTTTTCTTCAACATTTTTCATCTCCATTTTATTTTCTTGTTTCCTCCGCCGACCATGGAAGTTTGAATCCACCAAGGAGTGTAGTAGAAGCCGAGGAGCAGCAACGTCGTGTAGCAGTGTTGACCATTTGAGGTTCAAGCTTTCTTTTTTGTCTTTACTCAAGATAGGGAAGAAACTTTGTTAAGTTTGAATGATTTATTTTTATGTGGATATATGGATCCAATCATAAAGTGTTTGATAAGATGCTTGACTTATGTTTTTTGTTTTAGCTATACATTTATGAGTTGAATTTTTATTAGATGTCTTCAGAGATGAATGCATTCTTATGTGTGTTAATCTTAATTATTTTTAGCGATGATAATTATTTAGATTGCATGCTACTTTAGTTCTAGAATCGGTGTTTATGAGAGTTAACTAAATCATATAGAGATGTAGGATGTTGAGTGTTACGCTTTGTTAATTGTTTAATCTATGGTATTGATGAGAGCTAATTCCATTAGGTTATGTGTTTAATTCTTGAGAGAGGATTAATGTGTTAATTGTTGCATAACTTATAATTGTATTGCCACAACATTACCATTCTATTAACTGCCAAGTATTGACAACATCTTTAGGTCTAATGCTCTGTTTGCTCTTCTGCTTGTTACTACATTCCGTGCCATCTACCATTCTGCTTTATTACTTTTGATGTATTCCCGTCACTATCTCACTTCAGTTTTATCTTTTTTTATTTGAGATTATTAATTCTAACTTGTGATACATTGCTCTATGTGGCTTTGACATCCGAAACTCTTGTAGTTTACACTTTATTACTTGGTTTATGACACATATACTTGCGTTGAATGCTGTATCAATTTCGTAGCATCAGGTTTTTTGTACCGTTGTCGGGGAGCAATGATATTACATTAGAATTGTTTTTCTTTTGTCTTTACTAACTTTGTTTATTTTCTTTTTCTATGTAAGTTTTTTAGCATAGTGTACCTGCATTGAAGCTGAAATTATTTCCTCACTCACTCCATGACAATAGTATAACATAGCTTAACTTCTTGTCACATGGTGTTGTAGTATCATGGAATGAATTAGCACAAAAAAATTGTTGCGTTTCAATCCGCCTAGCATGAATGTTAAGCTGAGGAATGACATCACATTTTTCAAGCAATTAGAGAATGAGAGTTTGTATGAAGTTTGAGAGTGATTCAAAGAATTGTTGTGTAAATGCCAGATGCATGGCTTCCAAAATTGGACACAAACAGAGATATTATATAATGGTCTAAACATACAAACCCGAATGGTTGAAGATGTCTCTACTAATGGAGCATTGTTGGATAAGTCTTACAACAAAGTCTACGACATCTTTGAGGGGATCTCCAACAATGAATACCAATATCCTAACACAAGGATGATGCTGGGGAGATGCTTTGCTGCAGCAATGGACAATGATGTGCTGAACTCAATGGCTTCACAAATCACAACATTGATTGAGATGATAATGAAGATGCAACAACTTGAAGGTATGTATGAATCTAAATCAGCATCCATTATTACTTTCATTTATTGTGATGACAATCATAGTTTTGAGGAATGTCCTCAAACTCCTGATTTCGTGCATTTCATGAGGAGCCACAATTAGAATGACAATACTAACACATACAATCTGAAGTTCGAGAATCATTTTGATCTTTCATGGGGAAGTTATAATCTAGCCGAACCTAATGCAGCATTGAATCCATATTGTGAGAGTACACATCCACAATATCAGTCGCAACAGTAATATGTGTAGTAACAATAGATGCTGCCATATCAGCAGACACATCATCAAGAAATGTAACCACAGCAATGATGCAACCAAAAAAACTATCAAGGTCATACTTTCAACCAAGATTGCACATCTTCATCCCTTGAGTCTCTACTGATGGCGCACATTCAAAGCTAATCATCATCGTTGAGAGCATTAGAGAATCAAGTTGGACAATTGGTCAATGCCTTGAACGCCAAACAAAAAGGAGCATTGCCAAGTGACACTGAAGTTGTAACTAGCATTGCAAAGCTGTCACAACGAGAAGTGAACTCCAACTTGGGAAACATGATGAGCACAAGATGAAAGAGCATGAGAGGCCTAAATAAAAATCCAAAGGCAAAGAGTTTGAAATAAAGATTAAGCCACCCAACATTGATGTCACAACAAATGATGTAGGCCAGTATAGAAATTCTAAGCAATTGCCACCAGAAATGCCAACAACACTGCCACCTGCGATGTCGCCAAAATTGCCACTACGATTTAAAGGAAGGCCACCACCTCCATTATCTCAAAGACTCAAAAATACCAAGAAGGACCAACAATTCAAGAAATCCCTTGATATGTTAAGGCAATTAAAGATCAACATCCCATTGATTAATGCCTTGGAACAAATGTCGAATTATGCCAAATTCATAAAAGAAGCGCTCTCAAAGAAATTTAGCATTGGTGAGTTCGAACTCGTTGCACTCACTAAAGGGTGTAATGACGTACTAAAGGGTGTAATGCCATGGTCACAAGCAGATTGACACCAAATCTCTAGCACTATTGGCAATCAATTCATTGCTAAAACACTGTGTGATTTAGGTTTCAACATTAACCTTATGCCTTGTCTATTTTTAGGAAATTTGGGATTTAAGCAACACCAAGAACTGTTGTGTTACAATTTGTTGACCAATCTATTGCCCATCCTGAAGAGTATTTATCAACGTTGTCGTGTGGAGTGAGCCACATTTAATTTGTTTTTTTATTAATCTGAGTAAGTACGAGACATTATTTGTTCAAAGAAAATTCTTAACTTTACAATAATAAATGTTCACACCTCTGACATCCATGGTGCTCGAACCCTGATCATCAAGAACTAACAATAATTCTTTTATCACAGAGGCAACTCGGTTCGTGCGCCACATCGGTTCGTGCGCCACATTTAATATTAAATGCGAATAGAAATGCAAAATTTCAACATGGAAAGTCTGGGAGTCTACTTAGAAAAGTAAAACGAAGGAGACACTTTAACACGTTTCGGGCCATAAGAACTTGCACTGAACTTGAACCGTTGACTTGTGCTAATTTGTCGTATTCAAATCATTGAATTCTTGATTTTTGGTTCGTGTACTTTACAAAAACTAAAAGTTAGTCCTGATAAATTAAAGTGGATGGACTAACTTTTTAATTATCATAAAATTGAGAGATGAAATATATGATTAGACCCTGATAACTTGTAAGGGCAAAGCCTAAAGAGCTGTTATCAGCCGTGTTGTGTGGAACGAGGCACAGTTAATATGGAAAAGTCTGAGTCTAGACAAAAATAAAACAAAAGAAACTAAGGATGGGGAGATTTAACGCATCAATGTGGAGGATATGTTGGTCAGATAAGTAAGATGAATGAGTAAAGGAGTTTCCATCGGTGTTGTTAGGGAGCTCTTTGAAAATTTTGACAAGGTGTCCAACGTCTATATCTCGACGTTTGCATTTGTTCGTTTCGTTAATGCGACTGATATAATGTTGGCAATTGAGTTGGGGAACAACAAGCTTATCTATGGGATGAAAGTTTGAGTTTCTAAGATCACCTCAAGCTGGTCATGGCAACATTTAGGGATGAGTAAAACTCAATTCGAGTAAAAAAAAATCAAATTTTTTGTAATGATATTAGTTTTTGGTTCCTTTTAGTTAATGGCTTCCCATTTTGCAAGTCATTCTCCAGCTTGTCTTCACTTCCTTGGCCTCGGTGGTTAAGATTTGCTTGAATTTTGGTGTGAACGCTTGATGGTTTGGCCCATTTTCAAGCTTCATTTGTTTGCTAGGCGGTTGCTGGAGCTAATATTATAAGTAGATTATGGGTTTTACAGATAGAATTTATAAAGAAAGATTCTTTTATGCTTAAATTGAGCTTGTTTGATCTGATATACATACAGAACGATTATAACATTTTATGAGAATCTTCACTCATTCTGAAAATATTACAAAAGCTTAAGTGGAAAAAAATGTATGTTACCTCAAACTAGAAAGATCTGCATACTTTATTTAAGATGTTTTTTGTGCAAGTAATCACCAAACTAAGCCCTTTTCTCGTCTAAACCTATCAACAACACGGTCCATGCTCATTCGAGACTTCTCAGGCTTATTCAACTTCTTAGACTTCTCGAGTCGACTATCTAAGCTGTTTCTAGAAACTTCTGGAAGGTCGGCACCCATTTTAAAAGTATCCGAAGTTGCACCATCGGATGGTTTTGTCTGATTGTCTGAGTTCACCACCATATTCTCGGAACCGTTTGTGGCTGCTTTTGATTTGGTTAGATACAGTACAAATTTCTTCAAATGTCTAATGAATTCCGGGTAAAGCTCAAGATTGCAATGTCCTCCTCCATTCACCCATAAAGGATCGTACCTATGCTTGCAAAGCTCCCATAGCTGTTTACCATGAGATGAATCAACTACTTCATCAGCTGTCCCCTGCCAGTAGGAAAAGGAAACATCTATGAACTTTCCTTGGATGTCACAGCTCATTCGCAGGTCCATGACACGGAGATGACCTAACTTCATCAGCTGTTCCATGCACTATTGCAGGGTTCAAAGGCCAGAAAATGACATTTATATCTTTCTCTTCCAACATATATATATATATTCTGTTTCTTAATAAAGTTCTAATCTCTTGAAACCTACACGGTATTAGAGATAAATTAATTTACTATTGCCAGAACAATACATCAAATCTACAGTAACTAAGCTAAAGCACTTGAAGGTTAATAATATAAATTTAGAGAAGTATTTTGACTGAGCACCCATGGCCCAGGATATTTTCATCAAGATTCAAATCTCTAGAAACCAATTTTAAAGATTTTCCTTCATAGGTTTAGTTTAAAACATGCCGAAAAATGCTGAAGTACCTCATTACCATTGCAACCATAAAATGAATATCAATGTAGCAAGTAAATGGAGGCTAGAGAAAGAGAAGGGGATAATGGTGATAAAACAAGCGGAGAGTAATAAAAAAATGGAAGCAATACTTACATGAATTACCAAAACCTGACAGTTCACTGCTCCAATTTTGTCAATATTCTGAAAATTAGAATACAAAAAAATGGTAATGAAGGTAACGGCCTGCAAGATAAAACAAGAAAATAGAAATGCGGTGTAAAACACCGACTTACCTTATAAATGTCAAACCAGTACGTCCTTTTGACAGGGTATAATACTCTCATGCCAGACAAAATTGGGCTATGTAGAACAACACCTCTCAAGTTGGGCAAACGAGAAGCAAGATCAACCGTAGGTCCACTACCAACAGACTGGCCATACAAAATTAATTGTTCATCTTTAACTCCATACTCTTCCTTAAGGCACTTGTAAGTTGCATCTATGTCTGCATATGTATTACACTCAGTTGGCTGTTTCAAATAAAAGAAAGTGGTTTTTAGATTACAGGTTTGTAGCAAGCAGTAAAATGTTGGTTCAATAAGTACAAGAAATCAGAAATGACATGGCTGCACAGAAAATTAGTAGGCCTTGATACACGTTGAACATGGCAAATTAATGATAGATCCCCAAAGTGCAGGAAAGAAACTAACTAGCGTATAAAATATCAAAATTATAGGTTAAAAATAGAATCCTGAAAACATTTGGATCATCTAATACATTTAGATATTATAGAATATAAAGAAACTGCCCAACAGGTATAACTCAGAGCATCATAAGAACTCAAAATCTTCCATGTAAAATGAACACTACGCTTCTTTAGCAGAAAAGGAGAAGCATTTTGTAAATTATTACCGTGTAATTATTTAAATGTTCATTGCAATAGTTAAATAGCTATAGCAAACATGGATAAGGGAAACTTTTGTTCTCAAAATTAGCACAAGAAAGATAAGCCAAAAGACCAACCTTCCCAGTTGACTGACCATAGCCAGAGTAATCATATCTACAAAAAAATAGTAAAATAAATTAAATATAAAACAATGATAGACTAAAAATAAACCCAAAAAAGAACAAAGATATGATAAAATGTTCTACTTTCAGGAAGTCTAATTACCTGCACAATCATTTCATGTGTCTCTAGAAACAATGTCAAGAACTTATAGGATAAGATTTCCAAAGTAATTTTATTTAAAATCTTGGTTAAGTTTTCCCAAAAATTCTAAATACTTAAGAAAAGGAGAATGCTGTCAATTAGTCTTAGGCAGGTTGAGATTCTGATGAAACTTCATTTGTTTGAATGACATATCCATTTTGCATCATGACTCCCAGAACTTTGGAAGCTACAAAAATTGAAGAATCCATAGTTCACATTCTCCTACAAAGTGTTCATGGAATACAATTTGTTGATTTTATTTTGGGTTCATAGGTACTTCTCAGTCGGTGCCTAATTCTAAGGTTAACCGGTTAACTCTAGTTTTTCCTTTGAAATATTACATCAAACTCATTTCTTTCTCTTCCTTATCATTTGATGGTAGTTTCTATCTTCAGAATCTTCATTGAGGCTTAAGGGCTGTTTGTTTACTTCAGAATGATTAAGCGTTGAATGATTCAAATACTGAATGATTCAGAGGCTCTGAATGGTTTGGCTCTGAATGTGACATGTTGTTTGATAACTGACTCTGAATGATTCAAAATGTACTGTTTTGCTGAATCATTCAGCACTGTTTTGCTGAATCATTCAGCACTGTTTTGCTAAATCATTCAGCACTGTTTTGCTGAATCATTCAGTACTGTTTTGTTGAATCAATCAGTACTGCATCATTCAGAGGTGTGAAACAAACACGCCGTTCGCTGAATGGTTCCATTAAGAGGCAAACAAACAGCCCCTTAGTTAGTGAAGTATGAATCTAATCAAAAAGAAAACTGTATCACATCATGCAATTACAAGACACGCACTGCTTGCATATAGAATGAAAAGTCTACAGTTTGACAACAAACAAACACAATAGTATTAGTGCAAGAAAACAAATAGACAGTAGGCAACCATTTCCAAATGAAGCTGTCAAGCTTGATATTTACAGTGATAAGAGAATGCATGGCAGCATATGTCACAAGCAGAACTGAGGCAATTAATAAATTGATACCAAAAGACGACATACAAATGCTCCAACTTAGAACTACAGAAACAACAACCCAAATGAACTAAACTAGCACAGATAAACTTCTTAAACCATTTTATAGAAATGGAAACAGGACCTAGAAAAAACTTCCATACAGAAGTGGTTGATAATTAAATCAGTGAGAAAAGCTAATAAACATTATTCCTTGCATTCATTGTACATTTTCATGACATAACTAGTAACCATCAGTCATCATTTAGCAGTAGTTTGATGATTTTAGTAGCTACTATCGACCCAAACAATATATAGTTGCACTCTGACCAATCAACTGTACAATGTACGGGATCCTAAAAGGCTACAATCTGGACTTAGATACATGCCTTCATTCAAATAAAACTACCTCCATTTACCTATAGTATGCTGGTATGATGAAAACTATGCTCAATGTACTCATACTGCAGTCCAAGTTACTCGATTTCTAACTTTTCATAGTGAACATATATAAGTAACAATGAAAAATATCAACATAGCATGATAGTTCTGGATGTGGTAATAACGCAGAGGAAAAGAACAAAAGCAGAATATTCATGAACGTGGAAATTTATAGATGAATAATGCAGGAATTTTAATATACCTCATAGTCAAAAGAAGTCAAGATCGCACTGTTCAATTATTAAAGAACACAGTCATTTAAATTTTAAACCTCCCTAATATTATTCTGAAGTATAAAGGAAAAGCTAGAATATGCAAAAGTTGAGAAATATCTTTGGTCATAGTTCCCCTATAGGAACAAAAGACTATGATGATGGTCTCTATCGAAACAGAATATCCAGTAAAAGAACTACACAGAAAATTCTAATCACATTGCTTCATTTTCTTTTCTTTAGCATTATTTTCATGCATGTCAATGTCCTTAGGTATTAAATGCATCAACGCTATTCGCAAAATATATAATCTATCACGTGGAGCTCCTCAAACTAATATGACTTTGCCGTCATCCACTTTCTTTGACATTCGCTTAAGTCCATGATCAGTAAACAGAAAGAAAGAACAAATCCCACAGCATTTCAATCAAGCACTGACAGGATCCATGCCTGAATCATATTTGCAATATTCCACACATCAGAAAGGCTGTAGACAGAGAGGGTAACAAAAAACAGGAAAACCCTATGTAACTTTAACTCATCAAACATCACCTTCACTGCAACTCTTAGTCCAAGTCTCTCTACAACATACCAAAATCAGTATAACTTTCACTCACTGATAACCAGAATCTCTGTTCCTCCCTGAACATTTTGAATGAAACTAGCTTCAGATCAATCAGACAGCTGATACTTAGCAGGTTCCACTTCACCAATATTATTCAACACTTAAAGAACCCTAAAACCCCAAAATCACAAGCAAAACACGCCAACCCCCCCCCAACGAATTACTTTCACTAATCTGAAAAAACTTTAAAACAATCAAAAGAGTTAAAGCTTACGAATCCATCGTAAAATATCATGTTCGATTTGTTGAAAAGCTTGAAAGGAAAAAAAATTACCCCATAAGATTAACGCGCAGGCGATTACACAACTCGACGAAGAGCTCAAACATTTGTCCCAGATCAGCGGCATTTCCGTGAGAATACAAGAGAGTAGCGGAAGCTTTCGGGTGTTTAACATGGACGGCGACTATGTCGTTTCCACGGCGCGTGCGTAGCTTCAAGACGTCAACACCATCCCTCCTCGGTACCTCCGGTATGTAAAGCTGACCACCGCTTGACTCGTCCTCCACCACTCTGTAAGACGGTGGACTTGGCGGAAAGAACGCAAATTTGGCAGCGATCGACGACGTCACTCCTCCCATCTTCTTCTTAGCAACAATAGTTGTTCACCTTTCATTAAAGCTGCCAAAATAGCTCAGCCGCCTCAGAAACCTCAAATCTCAATCAACACCGTCCAATCTTCTTCAGATCTTTTTTTTCCATTTAAAGACAGAAGAAAAATGAAAAAGATAAAGAAGATAAATGAAAACGAAAATAGGTGGCGCGTGAAATGGTAACGGAGGCGCGTTTATACGGGAGCAGCCGTCAGACAGCGAAATTGTTGGACGAGAAACCGGATCTGGTGTTTTTTTAATGTCTTGAGAGGTGGGAATCTGAGTTGAATGGGATTTTATCCATTAAAGGGGGGTAAGGAAAAGTAAGAAGGCACGCCAGACGGCGAATTTGACAAATGATATGCACATGGTATGTGTGTATGTATGTATTTGGATCTTTAATGACTTCACTTGTAATGATCTATCTTTTCACGAAATTTTAACGAGCCGTCGGAAAAATCCTTTAGCTTTTTTTTTAATTTGGTTAGGTAGAAGATTGATCCAAGTTAATTTAAAATATAAATCATGTTTTGAACAATAATCTTTTTAAAGTAGGGGTATTCGCGGTGGATTTAGATCGATTTTTAGTTAAAAATTTATCCAATCTGAAATTATAATTGTTTGTGGTTTGGATCGATTTAGATGTTTCTAAAAAAAATTCCATCCGATCCGATCCAATTAAATACGGCTTGATTCGGTTTGAATTTGTGCAGGTTTTAGATACTAATTTTTCTAAATAATTCAAAGCAACAACATTACCTAAGGGGCCAAACAGTTTCACCATTTCACATCCTAAGCTTACACACTAAATCGGTTCGGTTTTTCAATTGCTTTTTCATAAAAATAAAAAAAATATTCATTTGTATGCATTTGTATCGCTCTCTCACGCATGTTTTCCGGGTTCTATAGGAAACTTTTAGCTTAAGTTAACTACCAATTATTTTACGAGGGCAATTGAATGTAAATAAGGTTGATTAGGCATTTGTATCGTTCTCTCACGCATGTTTTCCGGTTTCTATAGGAACCTTTTAGCTTAAGTTAACTGCCAATTATTTTACGAGGGTGTTCAATCAAAGGATTTAGCCATGTCTATTAATGCATTTCTAATTGTAAAGTAAAAAGGGGCTCTATCATAGTATGATAAATTGCTACTCCAGGTTCTCACAAAAGAGAATTGTTTCCTTCAATGTTCCCTCATTGTTTGTTTATAATCCTAGCGATTGTATCTAGTATGTGTATTCTGCTCGGATTTCAGAGTTAAACTATTCAATTGGTTTTTCATCAAAGTATTCAATTGTTGTCGTTCTGCGCAGGGAGATAGCCATTCATTGTAAAGGATATTGGTTCGGTTCGGTTTGGATCGATTATGTATTTTTAAATTGAAATCGAACCGAACCGATCGGTTTTTAAAAAAAAAATCAAACACACTAAATTGGTTTCGTTTTTTTCGGTTATCAGTTTTTTGGATCGTTTTCGGTTATTTTCTTTTGATCCGATTGGATTTGAACACCCTTATTTTAAAGTCGTCACCGATCTTTAAGTTAAGTATATCAAATATATAAAATTATATTTTAATTTTAAAAAAAAATAAATTAAAAGATAAAAATTAATTTGTGTTTAACCAGATAATCATTTTGAAAAGGATTCGAAAGTCAATTACGCTGTAAAAAGGTTAGCACCTCCATAGCACTCAAAGTTGATACCTAACGATCACATTTTATCTTTATATTTGAAAATTATAACTTCAAATGATATTTAAATTATGATCATTTTATTTGAATAATAAAAATTTCAAAAATGTATTCTTTTATATGAATAATCCTCGAAAACACACTACTTGTCAATTAAGACGTATTTTCATATATTCACCGTATAAAAACCATTGCCTTAATTTTCATAGTTATATATATATTAAATATGTTCAAAAAATACTCGGATATAAAAGGATGTAATTTAGTATGAAGAATTGTCAGGAACACTATCCTTGCTAGTTAAGGCATGTTTCCATGGATTCCCCTCATGACATAAAATTATCTTAATTTTTTTAGACAAAATACATATATTTTGATGTATTAAAAATATTCAAATAGGAGAAGAAATACTATCTTGTACAGACAGCTCTCGATAACACACTCTTAGCAAGTTAAAGTGCATTCCTATAAATTGCTCGTGCTAAATAATAATTTAAAAATATATTTGATGATATGTATATATACACGATTATTGAATTGCTCGTCCAGCTCAATTGATAGAGCGCAAGGCTCTTAACCTTGTGGTCGTGGGATTGAGTCTCACGGTGGGTAATTCATAATTGCTGGAGGTCTTCCACGGAAGTTGCTCTCAACCTAGCGTTGGGGGCAACCTACAACCCTACCTCTCCCTTACCCCATTACATATGGGAATAGGGTCAGCTAATTTTTTATATATACACGATTATTATATAAAAATGTATAAGTAATAAAATAAATAAATAAACAGAACGTACATTATTTATAATATATACTTGTTACACAAGACCCCCAAAATATTGTACTTGCATATGATACATTATAAGTCAAAATAAAATAAAAGCAATCACACTTCCAAATATATTTTATCGAATATAATCCCTCTCTTTTTTTATAAAGGGAATGTACATGGGAAACTAACCATACTATGCCCACACTAATATTAATAATTTCTAAAGGACTAAAACACAAACCCAAAAGCATGGTTTTAAAATGGAGACAATAGAAACTAAATACACTTAACAAACATGAGACTAAATTAAAAAAAACAGCAACTTTAAGGACCAAACAACAAACAAGGCAAAACTCATGGCCTAAAATGAAAAGTTAATGAACAAAATGAAGTAAATGAACAAAAGGACCGAAATAAAAAGAAATATAAATTACATGCTCAAAATATAAAAGAACCAAATTTCATTCACTGGTCAAAATGGAAATATTACAAATGATAGAACCTTTTTCAAGAAAATAACCTATAACCTAAGCCCATGGATTTCTCATTCAAAATGATGTTGTACACTATGGTGGCGTTTGGTTCGCTGGAATGTTTATGAGGGCTGTGAAGGAATTGGAATCTGTATGAATTTGAATCTGAATCTGAAACTTGTTTGGTTGGCAGGAAATTGAATTGGAATCCAATTACATATTCTGTTTGGTTCGCAAACATGTTAGATGAATTTGATTTCAGTAATTTAAAATGACAGAATTGCCTTTCTTATTTATTTTTTTTGCTTAATTTTAGTTTGTTTTATAACTTACATGTAGCAATATATTATAAAAATTTAAAAAATATTAAATTTTCATTTTATTGATTGATTATTCATTTCAATAAATTATAAAAATAATACTAATAAATATCATAAGTTAAAATCATCTCAATTAGGGATGGTCATGGGTCGGGTTAGGTCGGATTTTTGGTCCACCTGACCCGAGAACAAGGGAACCTCCACCCAAGACCCGACCCGACCAGACCAAAATAAAGTTTCACCCGACCCGACCCGACCCGAATATATGAATTAGAAACCTTACTCGACCTGAAATAATAAAAAAATATTTTTATTTAATAAAAATAATGACTTAATTGAAAAAAATTATATATAGAGGGGTATTATTGTAATTATTTCTAAATATATAAGGTAAAATTATATATTTTTTCGAGTCGGGTCGGGTATTTTTCACCCTAAACCTGAACCCGACCTGAATATCACACTTAAAAAAACCCGACCCCATTCCGAATTTTAAAAAAAAAAACCAGACCCGACCCGAACCCGAATTTTTTTAAAAAAATCCGACCCGAATACCAAAATATTGATGAGGATAGTATGGTCAAATTTTGTATTCACTCCTCCGAATGATTTCAATTCCATCATGTTATGGATGAAATTTACTTTCCCTCTCTTGATGGAATTGGATTCCAATTTCCCCTTTGAAAACTTGAACCAAACATGGGAAAGTGATGGAATTGGATTCCAATTCCCCCTAATTCCAAGGGATTTCAGCGAACCAAACGCTACCTAAGGGATTTAAAACATAAATTACACAAATTGCAGGAGTAGTACCAAAATGTTCTTTGGTAAAACCCATCTCCTGGGATCCTCTTGGGTTCATCATCAGAGGTTCAATGCGCAAGAAATGGAGCACCAAGGCTCTACTTGGCACCAAATCCCGTCGAACAGGATAAGGAAACTTGAAATTTTTCTTTTTTTACTCTAGACATAAACAAAGGGAGAAAATACTTTCAGAAAGTAGTCTCCTTTTTTGATTCTTACTGTCTAATTCTTTTCTTTCTTTCTTTTCTTTTTTTCTCTCGATTTCTCTCTTGGTATTTTATTGTTTGACTCTTTCTCTTTTTTTGTTTACTGCTTTTCTTCCTCTGAAAGATTGCTGATGATTTTCATTTTGTTGAATGGTTTTCTCCTCTCTCTGGTTCTCACAAGCTCTTTTTTTTTTTTTTGTGATTGCACTATGTCTGAGTTTTTTTTTTTTTGGTTGATGAATGATATCTCCACTTTTTTATGATGCATGCCGTATATATGGAGCTTTGTCCCTCGTGAGATATTGTCAAAGGAGGAGGCGGTGTGGCCATTGGTGCCATGGCACCTATTGCTCTGCCATAGTGCCATAACAAATCTGGCAGAGGACCACACAAAACAAAAAAAGGACCAACTTGGTCTGTCTTCTTGCTGATGTGGAGTGCTTCGATGGCCTTCACGTGAATCTGCTGAGGTGGACAATGACATGGAGGCCTCGCGTTGATGGCGGCTACGGTTGACACTAGGGTAAAACCCTTGCTTGATCTTCAAAATTGGGTCTGCTGAACCTTTGCTTGGGGCTTCACTAATTGTTGGTAATTGCTAGGCCTTGTAATGTATTAGGCTTTGTAATCCATTCTTGGACCAGCAATAAAGAAAATAAAAAGTGTTTAGCATTTATGTTACTATTTATTTATATATACTTAACCGTTTAATAATAGTAATAGTAATAATAAATTATAATATAATACTATATAATAATAAAAATAAACTATAATAAATAGTACTTAATATAACTAATAATGATACTAACTAAACTAATATAAACCAAAATAAAATTTGAAATAAGACCCGGACGAAAACGAGTGTTTATAGTGGTGTTTGGTAATAGTACATTTATGTTATTCTTCTCGTAATCTTTTTATTATTATTATTATATTCGTTAACGTAACATAAAAATATATATTAAAAAAATTAAACTTATAAAAGTATAACTAGTTAAAAATGTAAAATCACCTCACAAAGATAATCATATCATAAAATATTATTTTTTTAGTAAAAATATAATTTAAAATTTGAATAGATTAGTA